TAAAAAAATATTTAATCTAATTGTTACAATAATAATTAAATTAAAATGTTATTTATATCCAATAAATGTACCTTRAACTTATTAATTAATAACTTCTAACATTTTAATATTTATCTAATTATTCTATTAATATTGGTATATGTTATTTAGTACTTAATTAAATAATAATATATTAATAAAAAAATTTAATTAATTTATTGATAATTGATACACTGATACAAATTCAATGCAGTTATTTTTTCATTTATTAAATTATATAATAAACAAAAACAACAACAAAATTATTTAATTATTATTTATTAATATATTCAATATTAGTAATGTTTTATTACTATGTAATAAAACTTTTAAAATATAATCCAAAATATTATAAATCTTTAAATATACCTTCAACAAATTAAAAACCACAATAAATGTTATTATCATTTATTATTAGTATTTTCAGCATTAAAATATTACACATTTTTATTTTTTATCTTCATGAATATATAACTATTAAATATTTCAATATAAAAATAAAATATTTATATATATATATATATATTAAAGTAAAAAATAAAAACTTATTTTTATTAATTTTTAACTTTATACACATTATCATCAAATAAAATAGCGCTAAACAAATTTCGGAAATATCTATAGTGACTTTATTTATAAAGTTAAACTTAGTAATTAGTTTTTATTTTATAACAAAATAAACTAAATTTAAATACATTATTTTTCGATAAAAAATAATTAACTTAATTAATAATAATAATAATATAGTAAAATATAACCACATTTTTTGTATAATCAAGTTTTTGTAATGACAGCAGCCTAAAAAAATAAAATCCAATAATTAATAAATAAATTTCAATTAATAATTATTACCCCATATCCCCAAAGTTTATCCGGCAATGATTGTGTGTAATACCATTTATTTGAATTATAATCATATACTTCAACAGTTTCCGTAATATTAGTTGCTAAATTGAAATTAAAAATAATACCCCCCCCCCAAAATAAATAAATATATAAATATAATGTTAATACACTAATGATATTTATTAATTAATTAATTTTAATAATTAATTTTTATAATACCAGATATTTGTCCACCCAAAGCATACAATATATCATTGAAAACAATCAGTTTAAAATATCGTCTACCAGTTATCATTGATGCTAAATTAATTTTTTGATTTGTTAGGTTAAATATGTATATATATATAAATAATTTTAATTATTTGTTTTAAAAATAGTTTACTAAACCAATTGGTGTCCATTGGTTTGTTTTGGGATTATATGTTTCGCACGATTCATATACCACTGAACCATTTATACCCTCACCACCGCAAACATATATATTGCCCATAAATGATGCCGAACCAAACATATATCTAGGTTAATTAATTTTGATTTTTTTGTTTATAAAAAATTTTAAAAATTTAATACTAATAAAACCAATAATAAGTATATATATATATATATATATATATATATACTTTTAATTATAATTAAGAACATTAAAAATTATTTTTTTAAAAGAAAAACAAATTATACTATTTAGCAATGTTTCAAAAATCTATCAAATGTTACTACTGTATGTATAAATGATAGACAAAAGTGCTTGACACGTTTTTTTATATAGTTGCTCTTACTTTAAAAAGAATAAAATTAGTTAAAATAGTATAGATTTATTTTTTTTAGATTATCCAATACTGAGCATCCCTGACCCCGGAAACCCGGAGCCGTAATATACATAATGTGTAATTTATATAATGTGCTAATGCTATATCATCCGTCTCACGATTCTATAGTACCCACAAATATACTACTTTTACTTTTAAAGTTAGAGCCAACAAAAAACCGTGTCAAGGATTTTTTTTATAAATATTTATTGAGCACCGTTAGGTTTTAAAAAACTATTACCTTGTTTTAAGCATAGGTTTTATTTCTGTCCATTTATTTGAATATGTATCATATCTTTCTACTGAATTTAAATAACCATTTTTATCATTATAACCGCCGATAGCATATAATAAGCCTTCGTGTGCTACCAGTGCCAGACCACGCCTTTCCGTATTCATTGATACCATTTCATACCATTGATCGTTAAATGAATAATATTCACAAAATTTGAAAACGTTTACTAAATTTTGAATTTAAAATTAGATTTTAATATTATATATATATATATATATATTAAATATACTATTTATAAATTTATATTATTTATAATAATTATTAATCAAATTTAATTACCATTTATTCCTCCGCACGCATAAATTGAATTATTCATTAGTGCTGCATCAAATTGACTATATAATTATAAATATATAAAGTATAAAAAGTTAAAATCACAAATAACATAATTTATATTAAAGATATTTTTTTAAATATAGTAACAATATTTGTATACTCGCGTATTATTATCATCGATGCAACCGATTTCCATGTATTTGTTTGCGTATCATATGTTTCAGCGCTATTAAGTCTTCCATGAATCTTAAATAATTTATTTTTTTTTTGAAAAAATCACAAATCAATATATTTGTTAAATAACTTTAATTTGAATTTTAAAACTAACAATTATATACATATACTGAATATATATATATATATATATATATATATATATAACTAAATTATTTGAACAATATTTAGAGAGAATCTGAAATAGCGGCGGCGGCGATGCTGTCAATTACAATTATCTGATCAACAATACGTTGAATTAAAAAGTGACCATGGGCAATGTTGTAGATAATTACAGTCGTCTATCATCAATAATTTTTTTTAAACAGTCGACTATAAATTATCTTGGATATAATTAAATTGCAATTAATTTAAAAAAATGACCAATTACAACTTTATCCAAATTTTATAAAAATTATCTACATTTCAATTATTGGTCAMCTTTTAATTCAAACGTATTGTTGACCAGATAATTGTAATTAATAACATCGCCGCCGCCGCCGCTGTTTAAGACTCTCTCTATTTCTCTTTCAAATATTTACATACATTATAGCCGCCCATTGCATACAATTTTGAATCGTATGTTATTAAACCATAACTAACGCGTTCAGTGGACATGGATGGTATGGTTTGCCAGACACTGGTGTGTTGGTTGTATTTATAACAATTTAATCTAATATTTGTACCATTATATCCACCACATATATAGATTGAATTATCCGATAAATTTTCTGATAACTATAATTAAAAACAAAATAAATAAATAATTGTATTAAAATGTAATTATTATTTATAATTAAAACTATTAATTTTAAAAAAATAAATAAACAATTAATTTACATTAAATGATTCAGTTAAGTTATTAGTGATTATACTAGTAATTAGAATTGAATTGAGCAATAACAATTTATATATTAGATACATTTTTATTTAACAAAAAATTAAATTAGTTATTTATTATAGTAAATATAAATATATAAATAATTCAATTTGTGTTTTTTTTAAATATAATAAAATAAAAAATAAACTATTTATATAGACTATATATACTATTATTAAAGTTAATTAAATATACATTTTTCAAGTATTAGTTAATTAATTAATTAATAATTTTATTTGAAGTATTTATTAAATAATATTTCTTTATTTTTTAAGTACTTTATCAAACATTTTATAAGTGTTTTTTTATTATATTGTTATCATTATCTAATAATAATAATTAGTTTCAATAAAAGAAATTGATAATTATTTAGTAAAAATATTAAMAATATTTATTATTATTTAATTTTTTTAAAWGTTAWATTTAKKTAAGTTAAAAWTTTCTATCTTTAAATATTAATTAAATCTTTAATTACAAATTAAATATTGCAGTGTATAAAAAAATTAATCAAATTGTTTCTATAATAAATAAATTTAAATGGTATATACTATATATATTATATATATATATATATATATATATATATATATATATATWTAYATATATATATATATATATATGTACCTTKAACTTATTAATTAATAATTTTTAACATTTTAATGTTAAACAACATTAATCTAATTATTCTATTATAATCTGAATAAGTTATTTAGTACTTAATTTAATAATAATATATTGATAAAAAAAATTAATTAATTAATTGATAACTAAATATATATTGATATAAATTCAATGCAGTTATTAAATCGATAATCAACAACAAAAAACAACAAAATTATTTAATTATTATTTATTGATATATAATCAATATTAATACAGTTCTAAGTTTATAAAACTATTTAATGATTTTTATCAAATATATTTAGGAATTATTAATTATTATTTAAGAAATATTATTGAAAATAAATTATAACTTATTATTGGCTTTTATATATTAATATATATTTGTAATTTTGTAATTAAATTTTTAAAATAAAATCCGAAATATGATAAATCTATTATACAAAATGCTAGCTATATATTGATACCCTAAATAAAAATTATTGTATTTATTTAAAAAAAAATCAATATTAAATAAATATTTAAAAGTTTTCTCAATTAATTAGATTAATTAAAAATATATTTTTAGTTTAAAATATAAAAGTACTGTGTAAATAGTTAAATTATTAAATAAAAAAATAATCAATTTTATAATCAATTTGTTATTATAATAAATAAATTCTTATGTTATAAATTATAATGTACCTTGAACTTATTAATTAATAATTATCACAACAATTAAATAATTATTCTATTAATATCTAATAAATTATTTTTTAGTTAAAATATAATAACTTTTTTTATAACAAAATTTATTAATATAATTTCAATGCATATTTTTTTAATTTTTAATTAAATTCAATATGATTATATTGATAAAGTAAAATTAAAAAAAATTCAATTATAATTTATTTATTTATAAATCTAATAATACAGTATAATAATTATAATAATAATATAGTTTACACAACTATTGTATTTTAAATACTATATGACACACAAACAATCAAAAATTGCTTACAATACTAGAAAAAATAATAATTTAAAAATTAAAAAAAATTAATTTTTAATAGACATAGACTTCGCACAGAATAGCGCTAAACAAATGTCGCGAATGTTTGTCGACACCGAAGCCAATGATATAGACATATCGGGCGACAGCGTGTGTATCGCAGGTCACGTGAATACGAGACGATCGGCGCAATTGGTCGGCACCGATACGGGCGCATGTCTTTAGCGAATGATGGCCACCACCGCCACCACCACCACCAATACCTGTCGCCGATAGAGTCTGATTGACGGCACCGCCGCCGCCGCCGCCGGCAGTAGTAGTGGTGGTGGTTATAAATTTGGCGCTCTTATCGTAGGCAATGGTCAACCGTTCGATATTGTTATCAATGTAGTGGTGTGGCCACGAAACTATGACTACACCGTGAATCGGAACCGTTTCGGCCAAGTCGACCATCCAGACGGGTGTCTCAACAAAATAGTTGTCCAAAAGGGCACACTTTTGCATAGTTGTTGACTGTTGTTGGTGTTGTTGATCGTAGTCATCGGCGGAGGTGTCGGCGCCTCCACTGTTGCCGCTGATACCATCCACTGCATAGTTAGAGTTACCGAACTCCCAGTGCGTCCACGAGTGACGTTTATCATTGATCCAAGTGCTACGATGATAGGCCAAGTTGGGCACTGGTAGTTAGGAGCAGATAAATATATAGGATAGATATTACTGATCAATAAAACTATTTGTTTCATTGATTGATTGATTGATAGTATACCGCATTCGCTATAGTTGTTAACACGGAAAAACCCGTCGGGACACTGGCCGTCAAACAGACAGCCAATCACACCGACACGCATTGCTATACGCGTCCTCCATGTCAGTACATTGAAGCGAACATAGCGGGCAACAAACGGCTGACCAAAATAGTGCCACCGTTTGGTTTCCTTATCCATATTGGCGTCAAATTTCTTGGCGTTGCTGGTTGTAGTGGTCGTCAAATTGATGGTATCGGTATCATCCTTATAGTACGTCCAGCGTAACGAGTCATTGGAATAGGAGATAGAATAGGAGGTAACCCAATGTCGGCGAAACGGTGCACCAGTACCGCGGGTGACAACGCCTACGATTTTGGTCGGCGGTCCCAAATCGACGGCCAGCCACTGGTTCTGATTGTTCCATTTGGCGCACCAGCCGACCGATCCGTCGATGTAGGCATTTTCTGGCGCACAGTAGGCATCCTGAGGCCAGGTTCGGGAACTCGAAGCCTTATAGACAGTACGGGGCGGATAGTTGATGACAGTATCACATCGACGGCAACCGAGTAGTTCCACTCGCAGGCCCGGGTAGTTACTGTGCCACGTAAGGACTTCCAGGCGGACAAATCGGGTAACCTGTAGATCGGCCAACAAGTAATACTGTAGCGAATGCGAGTCCCTGTTGGCCAACACTGTCTGCTTCTGGTTATAGTAATGCCATTGGTTGGCATCGGTACTGAACATCAGCCTATAGGACCGGATCCACGATTTACCGTCGGCCCGGCCCTGAGTGACCAGACCGTTGATGGCCGTTTCGTAGCCCAAATCGATTTGCAAATAGTTGTATGTACTGTTCGGATTCGGACACCAGCCACGGCCGGGCCACTGATGAATGCGGGCGTAACGGGTATTACAGTTGGGATCTTTTTGATGGTGATTATTGCTGGAGCTGTCGCTCAGTTGCCAGTCGTGAATGCGGCCATCGATTAGACCCAGTGGTCGATTGCAGTCTATTTAGAGATATATAGTCGGGAATTGTTTCCCGTAATTTTCGGGACCAATCATTTAACTTTGATTTTTCAACAACAACAAAAATTATTTAAATAATTACATGCCTTTCAATTGAGACCAGTCATCATAGTAGCCTCTCTGAGCTTGGATTAGATTATTGATGGCCAACAGTTCAGCTACCAGTGCTATGATTAGCAATAGTATAGTATTTGCTAAAAAATTGATGAGTTTTATGATTATGTTTTTCATTGATGATAATTATATTTGAATAAATAATTTTTTTATAATAAATTAATTTTTTAATTTCAATGTTAAAACTGATTAATTAATTAATTTTTTTGGTTTTGTTTTTACATAATTTTGTTTTTGACAATACATAAGCTTATTATCACTGTTTTTATTATTATTATTATTATTACTATCATCTCATTTATTATTTATAATTATTGATGTTTTTTTGTATGTGTGTCTATAGATATAGATGTCTATGTGTTTTGTGTGTGTATGTGGTTTGGCATACAATAGATGATCAAAAAAAAAATTAAATATATATATTTTAAAAATAATAAAAAATGATTATTAAATCACATAATATCTTTTAGACTGAAAAAATTAATTATAATAATATAATAAATTTATCAAATATTTCAATAATTTATTGTTTTTAAGTAATTTTAGTATTGATTTTTTTTTTGGGTCTCTCTTTCTAATGTTAATTCAATTCAATTTTTCCAATTTACATATAATTATTTTTCTATATTTTTAAACAAAATAAAATAACAATAAAATTCATTCATTATAATTAGTATTAATTATAATAGTTTTATAATTTCATAGCATATATAATGTTTAAGTATTGTATAAATATATTTATATATATAAATATTTTATCACTTTTTTAAAAAAAAAATCATATAAATATAAATTTTATAATTTTTAATAAATATACACTTTTCTTATAAATTTAAATTTGTAATATATTTTTTTGTTTTGTTAAGTTTAAATAGTTATAATGTAATAATAATAATAATAATATAATTATAATATATATGATTATAACATTAAATTGCTAAAAGGGTTGTTTTACCGTAAATTTTTAAATAAAAATTAAACATTAAAAAAAATATATATATATATATATATATAGAAACTATAAATATATAATTATGTAAATAATATAGATATTTAAATATCAGATATACAATATATATATATATATGTATATATACAGTATATATGTATATATACAGTATATATGTATATATACAGTATATATGTATATATACAGTATATATGTATATATACAGTATATATGTATATATACAGTATATATGTATATATACAGTATATATGTATATATATATAAGTATATATATATGTATTGTTTAATAATGTTGTTTATGATGTTGTTGTTTAGGCAGTGATCGCCAATTGGTGTCCGACCGGTGGCTATTGTTGTGTTGCTGTTGGCTATCATCATACGATCGACGACTAGTGTTGTTGGACTCAGATCGCGGTGTCCACGATTTGCGACTATCATCGCCGCGTGTGATGGCGGCGCCAGCGACGGCGGTGGACGAGGAAGTGCTTGTAGTTGTGGAGGACATGTAGTTATTTCTAGGCGATGATGATGACGAAGACGACGACATATCGGTAGTCGTGGTGGTGTTGGCACCTCCTCTGGGCAAACGGCTATCGGCCGCCGTCGCAGTGGACACTACTTGACCGGCAGCGGTGTCGTCGACCTCTTTACTACGATAATACTTGCCATCATTTTTGTTGTTATTATAATTATTACTATAATAGTTATTATCATAACTATTATTATTATTATTATAACCTCCTCTTCCGTTATGTTGGTAATGATGATAACTACCGGTACTCTTGTTATTAAACTTATTATTATAATTACTACTACTATTGTAATGATTACTACTATTACTATTACTACTACTAGTGTTGTTATAGTTATAATTATTGTTGTATTGTTTTCTCGGCTGAAACGGTTGTCTTCGCTGCTGTTGCTGTGGCGGCGATCGGTATTGATTGTAATGATTATTCTGATGATGACTACCAGTAGTAGGTTTGCTATAATAATGGCTATCTTGTTGTTGTTCTTGTTGTTGTCGTCGTTGATGGTGATTATGTTGCTGTTGATGGTTGTGGTGCTGTTCCGACCAAATCCTATTGAACGCAGCCTTTCTGTTCAGTTCTTCTAAATATTTTTCGTTCGGTCCGGAAATCTGTGCCATATATGACAACATTTTCAGATAAATACCTAACAATACGTAGACATCGTAGGCGGCGTAATAGATCATCTCTTCGGTTAGCGGACGCGAACACCAGTAGTTACTGTTACCGACGTAACGTTTTTTGACCACCGCTTTCAACGGATTGCAACCGTAGCCGCCGTACAGTTCGAACAGTCCGTTCAGACCGATTGCCTCCGATGACGATTGTTGGCCACAACTACCGCCGCCACCACCACTGACTACCATATCTTTGCTAATCTCAGTGCTGCTGCTGATGACAGTGTGAACAGCTTGAGTATCGATAAAGTTATTCAAAACGACACCAAAATCCCGGTGCAGTGCATAGCTATCGTCTTCGCAGCCGTGAAACACTTTCTTAATACTGTTGGACTCTAGCAATCGTTTTAGACAATAGTCGACTAAATTAGGATTAGACCAGACATCGAATATGAAGATTTGCGGATAAACTTTACCACCGATACCACTACTGTCGCCACCATTGTTCAGGTCGACAGCGGTTGCGGCAGTCATCAGATGTTTGGGCAGATAAGCCAATTGAATTAGTGTAACAGTTCCGCGAACAGAGCCCAAGTTAACACCCTCTAAGTCAACGGTAACTACATCGGCCATTGAAAATATCTGGTCGACAATCTGTTTGCCGTGATATGTGTTGACAATAATACGAGTGTTTCGGTAGACTTCGGTGTCCAGTTCAATGGGTGCATCAATACGTGTGATAGTATGACCATTAATGGCCGCACGTTTCAGATGTTCGCTGAGTGCTACACAACCGTCTTCGGTAATGGAAAATCGATCCGAATGTGACCTCAGAAATTCGGTCAACTGATCCAGTGATTGGGCACAAACGGAGCGGACAGCGTTGGCCGCCTGCGAGCGCATATCGTAGAGACGTTGCAATGGTACCAAATAGGCGCCCAATCGACGCAATTGAAACTCATAGAAATCAATGGCCACAGCTATGCGCTGATGTGATCGGCGGTCATCATCAGCGTCGCTGTCGGCGTACAGATCGCTGGCAGCCGTCATCGATACCATACCCGATGCGACCGTAAAAATGGATGGATATTGCCATAAGAAGACTAAAATACCCTATTGTTTAATAAAAGAAAGAGAGAGACAGAGAGAGAGAGAGAGAGAGAGAGAGAGGTTAGTGATCGGCAGAGGTTGTGGTAATTGTGTGCACACAAAACATACGGGAAGACCGTCGACGCCGCGTCCAGTAATACGTCTGAGGCCACGGCTGACAGTACTATATTCGCTATAGAGACCCAATTTGCTGACCAACTCTTTCAGTGTTACCGGCTGTTCGCCGCTGGCGGTCAGTATGTCCAGCAAAAGCATTACAACATTGTGTCGAAGACTTTCGTCGTCCATGACTTCTTCGGGAACTGTTGTTTTCGGGAGAGAGAGAGAGAGAGAGATGTCGCGCGCGCGGACAGACTTTTGTTTTCTCTGTGGATCAGATGACTGACTGACTGATGAAGAAGAAGTTGTTGCTGTGAATGACTGAATGAATGAAGAAATATTGTCGTAGTCCGTAGTCTATCGGATGTGCTGTTGTTGTGGTTATCTTGAAATCTGGTGAATGTCTTCACCAAAAAAAAAACATCGGTTAATATAATAATAATAATAATAATAATGTGTTTTTATATACAGTATAAGTGTTTATGTGTTAAGTGTTTTTTGAAACCCTGTATTACACACACACACAGTGTGTATGTACTGTATGTATGTATGTGTGTATAACATAACGTATTTTGTGCGCACACGCAGTCAAAACATTTAAATCAAATCAACAAAAAAAATATAGTGAGAGACGATATTGTTGCGCTGCACGTGCATCAACTTATTATTATTATAACACACACATGCATGCACGTGATAAGTGCGTGCATACAAATTATTATAAAATTAATATACAATTAAACAATAATTATTAAATGATTAAATTAATTATTATTAATAAAAACAATATTAGAAATTTAATCTAGATTAAATTGTAATTATTATTTTTAACAAAAATTGTTATTTTAAAAGTTATAATTAAACACACACACACACACACACACATTGTATAGTCCAAAATAGACCCAAAATGTTTATGTTGATAATACCAAGATAATTTGGTACTATTTATAACTATAACGTACAGTATATTGTATACTAATGTTAGGCTAAACAGTATTAATGATTGTTTTTAGTGCATCAGTTCAATAGATATGAGACGCCCTCTCAACACACAAAACACACACACATTGTATAACTGATTGATTGACTGAAAAACTATAACTATTTAGTGATTATTAACTAATTATTAACTAAAATATTGTTAATAATAATAATAATTATTAACTAATAATAATAATAATAACCCGATTTCCCGACACAATGGCCGACCAAATCGGCGATCGTAATCCATTGATAACTCTGGTCTACTATTCGATAGCAATGGTCACCTGTCCTATCGGCGGCTATTTCCTGTCGCGGCCACTGTTCGAGTTGGTCACCAGCGGTCAATCGGTTAACATTTATTCGGCCATTACGGCCGTAATCATAGTCCACATTATATTGTTTATGTTTGTCTATATTGCCTACAACGAGGACAAAAAGTTGGCCACCACTACTAGCAGTATGCAGCCGACGGTTAAAGTGTCCAAAACTATGGCCCAGAAAGTCGACTAAAAAACGGCGATTAAATTTAGCCCAAAAAAAATTTTTTTTTTTGTTTTATTTGTTTTGATATTTATATGTATAATATTTAACTACAATATATATATATAACATTTGATTAATATGTGTATATAATTTATATTTTAATTAAATTAATTAATTATCGTATTTATATATATATATAAATATTTATGATAATAATAATTATTATTAATTAATTAATTACTAGTAATTAATTGATTTACAGGTATATATATATATATATAGGAGTGATATTTTATCATTTAAAAAAAATTTTAGTAGTAATTAGTAGTTTAATCAATAGTTATGATTTAATTTTTTTTAGATTTATAAATTATTAACTAAGTGACCCACCTCCAATAATTATATATATATATATATATATATATATATTGATTGATCTCAATTGATTGAATTGAGTTGACGAGGGTCACTTTATTTTTTTTTTGTATATTATAGTATTAATATATACAGTATATATGTAATATAAACAAGACACACACACATACATAAAATGTACTAGATTATTTTTGTTATTGTAGTAAATTATACATATAATTATTTATATATATATATATATATATATTATGATTCATAATCAAGTTTCACAAATTTCATTTGTTTTGTTTTTTTGTGATAAAACATTTTTTATACATATATTTTCGGTAATAATGTATGACTTTTTTTGTGCAAATATATTTTTTTTTGATAATGAAATAAAACTAAAAAAATAGGAAATTTTTTTCAAAAAAATAAAATTTTGCAATTGTTTATCAACAACAAAATTATTATATGATATATAAAAAAAATAGATTAGTAAACAATTTTACTTATAAAACTTAAAACTTAATTTTAAAATTATTAATAGTATTGAATATATTATTAGATTAATAATAATTGATAATCCATACAAAACATGATAAATCATCGAAAAATTATTTATAATTTAGTGTACAGGTAGTTTTTAAAACAAACAAACAAACATTCAAACCTACCCTATCCAGGCCTGTATAGGTCCAGTACAGTGGGTCAGTACAGTTGATAGCCACTGGTTAGTTATATATATATATACAGGTATACTACAGGTTGTACCACAATCTATACAGGTATATACCGGTGCAGTACAACCAACCACCCATTATATATGGTGTGCTTAACACTTAACACACACACACTTTTGCAGACTAACTAACCAACCAACAAAAAAATATCACATTTATTTGTTACACACTATTTGTGCCATCAATTATCATACACACACACACCATCCCATCCCATCCCATCCCATCCCATCAGCAATGACTAAGACTAGGAGTGGTCTGTGTACTGCATCCATGTCCACGGCTATCACTACCGGTAGCCGGTCGGCAAAGACAACACCGTCGGCAGTTGGCCGCAAACTACTGTTGCGCGACGGCGATGACGATACCATCAAACGTTCGCAGACTGACCACAAACAGCAGCAGCGGCAGTCGTCGGTAGCCGTCGACAGTCGCTGGACAGCTCAGAAGCGTATGCTGAAGACAATGTCGTCGTCGACGACGACCAGAAAAAAACTGAAACTTAGCGACGAAAACCTGGAAGACACAGATGAATGGACTGATGTAAAGACATTATCGTCGAAAGTGGCCATCAAGTTGTTGTTCGGTGACGACGACAACGACGGCGAAACTCAAGAGTCAGATAAAGAGCTATTACTACTACTAAATGGTGATCCGTCTGATGATAATAATAATACGTCTGGCAGTCATACGGGTGGTGGTGGTAGCGTAGGACAACCCCAGACCACCACAGGCGGCCGGTCCGTATCGGTTGGTCGCATGTTGTGGTTGGCATTGGTGGTCATAGTCGTGCCGGCTATGATCGGCAGTCTCTGGCTATGTTTGACAACGACTGATGACTATTACTACTACTACTACACCAAAAACATTGGTCCGATTGTCGATAGTTTACCGAAAGTTTTCGGCAATTTTTTCCAGTCAGTCACCGATTTTGCCGATAATTATAATAATATTACCATTGATTATATTAGTCTGTATTTTGCTAATGTATTTAATAATACTAATAATGTGATCAACAAATTGATGACATTTTTATCTAAAATCAATATTTTTAGTTTCTAAATAATAATTATGACAAAAATAGTAATAATAATAAATTATTGGATTTTTTTAAGCAATTTGTTTTTATTTATTAATAATAAATATTATTTATTTAGACGATTCAAAAAAAAATATTTTATATAATCATAAAATTAATACTAATATAAAAAAATTAATTGATGACAAACAAAATTATTCAGTGTAATTTTTGTTTTAAATTCAATGTTTTTATTTTTTATATACCGGTATATATCATATATATTCATTTAATTTATTTTATTTTAATTACAATTTATCAATATTTATCAATAGTTGCATACAATAATTAATTGAATGACATTATAGACAACGATAGTTGAAATTAAGATAAAATAATAGCAATTATCTAAAGTCGATATTTAACATAATTATTTTTGTTACTGAAAATTGAAAATTAGATAAAATTAGGTAATTTATATACTCATACACTATTATATAATTTATTTTTTAAAAAACTATAGTTAATCTGCACTAAAAATGGATTTTTTAAATAATTTAATAAAAATAATAATAATATGACAATAAAAAATATAATACTAGTAATAATTTTTATTTAAAAAAAATACTTTATATGTTTAATCTCAAATATATTTTTTTTTAATTTTTATGTAGATATTTAAAAAAATTATCTTAATAAATAATTAAAAATAAATTCTATTAATTATACTTAACATATAGTACAGTATATTAAACATTTAAAAAATACATAATTTTTTAATGTATTTATTTTAATTTAACTATTTTAAAAAAAACTATTAAATAAATTTAGTTTAAACATTTCTATTCAAATAATAATAATAATAATAACAACGACAACAAAAAATAATTATTTTATTCAAAAAAAATCTTGATAATAAAAAAACAATCATTAAGTCAATCATTGAGATTTAAATTTCAAAAAATTAAAGTTTCAATAAATTATAATTATTTTTAATTAATTAATTAATTAGTCAATCAATCAATTAATAGAAAAAATAACATAAAAATTAATGATTGAATATGGTATAGTATAATGTATATTAAATATTATTTTTAAAAATAACAAAATAATTTTTATTATTATTATTAAAATACTGTATTATATAATAATTAGTAGAAATATTATAACAATTATAAAATAAAAATTAATTAAAACAAAAAAAAACTGTTGAAATGTTTATGATTATTAATTAACCTTGATGCATTTATTATTATTAATTTGTTGTTGTTGATAATTATGACTTGATGGTGACAATGATGGTGATGATGATGACGATAATAATGATGTCGATGCTGATGATGGCGCTGATGATGGTGATAATGTTGATGATAATAGTTTACCATTACTACTACTACTACTACTATAGCAACAATTGATTGGTGCCGTCGGGACCACAACAGATCGGCGCTTATGATTAGGATGATTGTGGCCACTGGTCTCAGCCGATGTTACCGATGACCCGCATTTGTACGACAATTGTTTTTGTTTTTGTTGTTTCTTAACCAATAGATAGGTACGGATGAAAAAGTTGACAAACAATAGGAAAAACACATAGTATAGTACTAGACCAGTGGTAACTACCGATACGGACAGATCGCACGGCAGACCGTTTAGTTTGAACTGAAAGGCACGCAAATTGATGTATAAGCCGAACATCATTTGCAGTATCTGTAGTGATGTAATAAATTTGGCCACCAGTGGCGGTACGGCCAGCCGTACGGCTTTCATGGCGTAGTAGGTATACATGAGCGAATGGACCAGGAAGTTCATGTTGACCATCCAGCGGGCAGTGGCCGGTATGTCGGCGTAGACATACCACGAGTAGCACAGTGTTAGACAGTGGTGTATCCAGTGAAGTTTGATTAGGCGCTGCCGGCGCAATATGATGAATAGGGTGTCGCCCAGTTCGACCACTTTCGATATGACAAACAGCCAGTACCAGAATACTAGACGGATGTCCTTATTATTTAATATTTATAAAAAAAAATAAAAATATTTTAGTTTTTTTGTGTTAAATTTTGATAATAATGGTTTACCCAATAAATATATTAAATTAAAATATGTATGATAAAAAATAATTAAATTAAATAGGTTAGTTAATCAATAAACAAACAAACAAACATAAAAAATCAATTAAAGATATTTAGTTTAGTTTTATTTGTTTGTTTGTTTGCTATCTAATATCAATATTATTACTGTATATTAGATGTGTGTGTATTTAATTTATTTTACTAAATAATCATTTATTTTTTTTAACCTAATATATTAATTTTAATTTCGTATTTTTTTAAATAATTTAATTTATATTATTATTACTGTATTTGAGTGTATATATATATATATACAGTATTAGTTAATTTAATTTTTATAAATTTCAATATATATATATATATATATATATATAATTGACTTTTTTATACTCTATATATTGTATTACAGTAATTTAATATATAATTTAATAATTTATGAGTTAATAAATATAATTTGTTTATTTATTTATTTTTTTTGGTGGAGGTTTTAAATTTAATTATTACAACTAAAACTAATAGCACTTGTAATTTGATTTATAATTTGAAAAATATTAGTAATATTTACATTTAAACTATTCATTCAGTAATTAAAATATTTAGTTACAGCAAAGTTATTATTACATTATTACTTATATATCAATATATTGTTATATAATATTTATTTATTATTATAATTATAAAATATAACAAATTTTTTATTATGATAAAAATAATCATTATTTTTTTTGTCTATAAAACAGTATTACATATAACTTAAATATCTTAATTACCGGAAGGCAATACACACTACACTATAAAAAATAAATAAATAAATCGTATCATAAGTTATGATAAGTAAAATAGTAAAAAAAATAAATAAAATAAAAAACATTAAAAAACAACTTTAACTAATTTAAAAATATTTTGTATATATATATATTATAAATTATATACAAAAAAAAATAATAATAAATAAAGTCATTCAATATACTGTGTATATAAGTTTGAAAAAACAAGATTTTTTTGCCATCAATTTAACTATAACTAAAACGATTCATAACATGTGTGCCATTTTATATAAATTATATTTTATAATATATAGTATATATATACTTATATATTTATATAAATGAAAAACATTAAAATATATTTATTATTGTATGTGAAATCTTAATTAAATTTATTTTTAAAAAATGCGGTTAAGTTTTTATTTTTTTATTTTCTTCAGTGAAAACACATAATTTTTATATATATATTATATATTAATGTTATAAATATTATATTATTGCAAAATAAAAAATTATATGACTAGGATTAACAACTACTAGCATACTTGTATTATTATTATTATTATGAATATAAATACTCAAAAAATTTTAAATATAATAATAATAATAAACTTATAGATATTATTTGGCACAATTATTATATGCATATACAGTATATACATTATATAACATATATATATATATATAAATAATTTACTATATCTCTAGCTATATAGTTAGCAAATAAAAAACAAAACAAAAAAACTAAATTTAAAATTAAATTAAGCTAATTGTATAATTTATTGCATTTGTGTTTTTTGTTGGGTAATAAATAAAAAGCAATGTAATGTAAAATTAAAATTAAATTAATTTTTTTTTAAATACTAAAAGTTTACTATAAGTTATAACACACACACTATATGCAGATTAAAAAAACATAGTAACCACTAGTATATTATCTACCAAAAAAAACATATTAAAAATAAATTAAATTAATTTTTAAAAAAAAACCGTATGATATCATAATACTGTATATGATTATATAATATACAGTAAACTTTTTTTTAAAATCAAAAAAAATTTGTACTGTATATACTGTATAATTACACACTTTTTTTATGAAAAAATACATTATAAAATAATTTTTAAAAATAAATTAATTAAAAATAAATTAATTAAAAATAAATTAATTAATAATAAATAAAATCATAACAAACTTCATAATAACACGACTCGCAAAACGAGGCATAAATGCCTTTAGTTAGCAAAATGGCTATAAATTCCGGTAAACACTTGATTGTACCGCAAATTGAAAATAAGGCCAAACATGTACTCCATAGGGCCAGCGGTAGCCGTAAATTGAATGGCTTGTCGCGGGTGTTCATCCATGTTTGCAGTACATGTACAATGGTTACATAGACTATGCTTATGTAGATTGAATAGTGCCAGTGATCCCGGAGCCATTCCTGTTTGTATTCGTGTGTACGGCGAAAGTTATCTTCAAATTTAAAGGCAAACGGAAATCCCGAAAACTGGTGCCAATTGGTTGACCATTGTTTTGAACCGATTTTGGCTATTATATGATGATTATTATAGCGTGTATCGTTGAATAGCATGTTGTGTTGTGTTGTTATATGGTGTGTATAATGATAAATATATAGATGTTTGCTGTGTATGTATGTGTATGGATGAGGAACTGGATGTGATGGTGTTGAGGATGGAGTTGAGGCTGGAGTTGAGGAACGGTTGTTATTATTAATTTTTGGACAGTCGGGTCAGCTAATAGTTTTGATCATCAATGACTGTAATAACATTTTTTTCTCTGGTAATACTGATAATTATTATTAATATTATTATTATTATTATTACACTTCATTTACGGGGCACTAAAAAAAATATTTATCAAAAAATATTTATTTTCAAATTTTAAAACTTAAACTTTTCAAACAAACACCACCAACAAATACATATATATATTTTTCAATATATATTAAACTATAGAGAGAGAGAGAGAGAGAGAGAGAGAGAGAGAGAGAGAGAGAAATTAACTTATTTTTTAACCCAAAAAAATATGAATATTTGTCACAAAATTTTCGTAAATAATAATTATTATTATTTTTTTAGAGAAGACAAACTTTAAAACAATAAATAATAATTAGTATTTTATTTGTAGACACAAACAAACAATTTTTGAAAGTCAAAAAACTTTTGAAAAAAAACAAAATTTTGTAACAAAAAAAAAATACTATACTCTAATAATAACAACTAATTTATACATATAGTACACTATATAATAATAATAATAATAACACCAATAATTATTAGAGTAATTAAAAAAAATTAGTTTTTTTTAAAGCAATTTATATAATCAATTGAATGAATTTCTTCAATAATAATAAACACAGACAACACAGACACACAATTAGTTGAAAATAAAATATAGATTTAAAAAAAACTAATAAACAATTTTTTTTGTTTAAATAATTTTTAGTAATTAGTTTCAAAAAAATAGATTATTTTAAAACTATTTTTTTCGGGTGACGACAAAAAAAACTATGTTTTCGTTTTTCGATAGTATATTAATATTAATATATATATATATACTACTAATATAAACAACTATTTCGACTTATTTAGTTAAAATAAAGTCATTATTTTCACCACAAAAAAAAATAATATTTGTGTATTATATATATATATACAGTATATATATATAAAATATATATATACTGTACTGTATATACAGTTATATCATATATATATAATAGAGAATAGATTGAAGTGAGAGCTCACAAACATAACAAACATACCGATAGTTTCGATAAATTTATGTTTTTGGGTCTCAAAACCACTCTCTCTCTCTCTCTCTCTCTCTCTCTCTCTCTCTCTCTCTCTCTCTCTCTCTCTCTCTCTCTCTCTCTCTCTCTCTCTCTCTCTCTCTCTATCCTCTATCTCCCGGTTCTGGTCTGAGCCATATAAAAGCAGTCCTTAATTTGTGTGGTTGTTGTTGATGTTGTTGTTGTTGGCATTATTTTTTTTAAGTATTAAATAATTTAATATATATATAAGTACTTTATATATTGCTATTTAATATACCTGTATATATATATAAGGTTTCTCTTATTCGCATCATTACATATACAACAACAAACAAGTAATAACTAATAACTGTTGTTGTGTTTATAGTTTAAACACTCTAAGCTAACGTTAATTTTAAAAAAAATAAAAAAATAAAAATTATTTAAGATTTTTTTTATGTTGAAAATTATTATTTTTATTTATCAACAACTCCTCTGGCGTTAGTTTAAAAATATAGTTGATTTTCATCTCTCTCTCTCTCTCTCTCTCTCTCTCTCTCTCTCTCTCTTCTCTCTTTCTTTCGGCTCTAACCTTATTTCAGGTCAACACTTATGAAACAGGTATACATACTATACATACATACATATAGGTAGGTATGTTGTATACGCTCTCATATATATAAAAAAATAAGTTATATAAATATATTTAAAATCAATAATAAATATACAGTATATATATTTATAATTAAAAAAACATTGGGAGTCGTCGGTTAGTGAGAGAGAGAGAGAGAGAGAGAGAGTAAGTAAATCTCTCTCTCTCTCTCTCTCTATAAAAAAAATTCATGCATTATTTTTTTTAGTGATTACTTGATATTAACAAACAATAGTAATTTTAAAATTTTACACAAATAAATAAATAAATATAAAAAAAATCTAAAATCCCATTGAAAACAGTACACACAAAATCAAAACTTGAATTTAAAATCAAAAAAGTTGTCTTTTAATTTGTTGTTGAAAATAAAATAAACATATCATGCATTCACTTTCACTCAATAAACAATATATACGATAATCTCAATTAATTTTTATTTTTTGTAAAAAAAATGAAACCCATTTTATATTTATTTAAAAAAATGTAAAATTTTAAAATTCATGTTTTTTATACAAAAAAAATTTTGTTTGTTTGTTTGTATTAATTTATTTACATTTTCACTTTAAATTATTATTATTATTATTGAATGTATGTGTAAAATATGTGTGTTTTTTGTATTTGATTCGAGAAATACTTGTTATAATAAATTATTATTATTATTATTGTTATGACATAATTGTGATGTGTTTTATGGTAGGGTATGATATTGTTGTTGTTGTTATTGTTAAACAACAACAACAATAATAATTTTTTTTTATGAATTGATATACAAACAGACAATTTTGTTTTGTTGTTAATCAATAATACAAAATAAAAGTCAATTATTATTATTATTATTATTTCTTTTTTCTTTCGACAATACATTTGGGACAAAACCACTTTCCTTTCGGTTTAATGGTTAGGCCGACACATCCAAAATGAAACCATTCAATAGGCTATACACACATATATATATATATATATATATATATATATATATATACAAAAAAATAGTAGAAAAAAACAAATTAATTAATTAAAAAAATATTTAATTTTGTTTTAACATAAAAACAACATTAATATCAACTGGCAATCACTTACACAGTCAGCATTATCGCAGCCAATCATCTCTCCGTAGGACACCTGATGGCAGAGACAATATGTGGGCTCATCTGTGATCAGAAACAAATCGGACAAAACAAAACAAAAATTAGTGATTTTTATTATTAGCCGAAAAAATTTAATTAATTTTAATATCATTTACTCGGATCGACAGCCATATCGAGTCCAATGTCCGAATTGGCCATCAGTGCCGGTAATACTGCTGCCACCGATGTACTACCGATGATCACATTTTCGTTGAGTTTGTCCAGTTTTTTACGGCCACCACCGCCGCCGCCGCCCTTCGAATCCGAATCACTTTTGATAACATTTTTCGGATTAAACCCTTTGGACAACTTATCGGCGGCAGCGCCGGCGCCGCCTTTACGACCGCCCTTTTTCTTAGTCGACGACTCGTCGACAGCATTGCCAGCCGAGCCGATGCCAGCGCCGCCGTCACCACCGACAGATGCGTCCGACAGGTGTCCACCACCGCCAACACCAACACCGGTCAGCTGTTTGTCTTTGAGGTCGCTGTCAAACTTGGCTAACTCGGTATCCAATCGTCGGATATGTTTGTCAACCATTTCGTAGGTTTGCATCGCCAGCTGGACTTTGTCGTCGCTCAAGACTTTTGCCTTTTCAAACATTTCGTGAATCTGATCGAAGCGCTGGTATTTGTTGTCCGGCGACAAATCCGGAACCGTTTGGATGTACTCTTCGGCTGCGCCATTGATTTTTGTTACCAAATCTGTGTTTAGTGTTGGGTTTTTAGTTAAAGTTAAGACAAATTAATTTAGATAAGAGAGAGAGAGAGAGAGAGAGAGAGAGAGAGAGAAAGAGAGAGAGATAGAGATGGGGTGTGTGTCTGTATGTATGTGTTATATAAAAATATATTAAATGTTTGGCATATATAGATATATAAGTAAAATAATTATTTTTTTAAAATCTTATCTCTAAATAAATAAATAGAGAGAGAGAGAGAGAGAGAGAGAGCAAACATTTTTGTTTCATAGACATAAAAAACATTAATACTAGTAATAGTAATAATATTACCCAAAAAAATGCTTTAATTATTTCCCTATTCGTTATGAATTTATTTTTTTTTTGTGTGCAAAACAGGAAATTCAAGTGTAATATTATATAAGGTTACAGTTAAAGTAAATATATATATAAACTATAGGTACAGGTATAATATAATATGTTAAACATATAATGAATTTTTTTTCTTTTTAAAAAAAATGATTATTTATTTTGTGTGTTTGAAATGAATTTTTTTTTTTATAAAAAAAAATGAGAGGAAAATAAATAAATTAAAAAAAAATAAAATTGCTTTTAAGTGATTCCCAAAATATCTTTGACTCACTTTCATATGAAATTAGGTGATCTCTATCCACAGTAATAATAATAATAAATACATAACATTTTCAATTGCCTTAATATTTATTGACTATAACTTTCACTATTAGTCTAATTTTTTTTATCTCTCTCTCTCTATTTATTAGTTTCATAATACTTATATAATACTAGTATATGTGTGCAAATAATATGTATATATATATAAATAGCTCTTAACAAATAAAGTCACAAATGTTTTTCTTTATAGCCGTAGGCAATGTGTTTGAGATTTTTTTTCTCTCTCTCTCTCTCTCTCTCATAACTTATTACTTCAAACAAACAATTTTTACTATCATTTCTCTCTCTCTCTCTCTCTCTCTCTCTCTCTCTCTCTCTTAAACATTCAATGAATTTACATTACAATTATCTCATTTAGTTTTTTTGCATTTATATATATATATATATATATAGTCTGTTATAGTGTTTAACTTTATTTAATAATTCATTCAAGCATTTTATTTAGTCATTTTCAAAATATATGTGAAATATTTTTTTAAAAAAATTAGTTTATAAGTATATATATTATGCAAACAAATAAATGTATATACAGTATGTTTAATATATATATAAACTAATTATACACAGAAAAATTAATAGCTAATTAAATAATAATAATTATTATTATTATACACAAAACAAACAAATAAAATTACTTAAACTAAATGTTTTATTTTTTAAAAATAAATCAATATATCTATCAATTTATATGATTATATATACTGTATATATCATTACCTTAATTACTGCACTTTTAATTGATGAATAATTTTTTCAGATTTTTAAAATTAATTATAAATAAAAAAACAATAATATTTTTTTGTTGATTAATAATTTTTGTATTAATTTTGTGTAAATTTCGAAACACTAATTAATACAAACACTAATTAATACTAAATAAAATTAATAATAATAATAATAATTAACTAAATATTTGTTAAATACTATTATCAGACAATCAACTTAACGTATAATTGGCTAAACTTTTTTTTAATACTTTTCTAAAACTAAATCTTCTTTACCGCCGATGACGGCATCGGCTGTAAAATAAAATAAAAACTACAAAAGACACAAAAGACAGACAGACAGACAGACAGACAGACAGATAGATAGACAGACAGACAGACAAACATACAGATAGACAGATAGATAAACAGATAAACAGACAGATAGTCAGACAGACTGATAGTTAGACAACTGACAGACAGACAGACACTTGCCTTCAGTTTTTGTATCCAAATCTCTCATTAATGTAAAATTTCGCTGAAGATCTGTGGGAAGCGTTTCCAGACCTTCCGTGTCCATCAAAACAAAAAAAAATCAATAGATAATCATCGGGTAGTATCAGATGGTAATCAGTGTCTGTGAAACTTACTGTCGAGGAAGTGATCCAAATAGGGAACAGCCATTAGTGTCTGTGTCTGTGTGTGTGTGTGTGGACACCAATAATTGGGTTTAAGACAACATACAATCGGGTGATCAATCAATCAATTAAATTAAATGTCTGGTGTTTTACCACCGATGATGACAACAACAACAATAAAATGTCAACAAAATTATGAAAACAATTAATTTTTTGTTTGTTTTGATTTTTGTTTATTTTTTTTTTTTTTTTGATGGTTTGTCAACAAATCAAAAATAGATTTTTTATTTGAAACAACATTAACTGCTATAAACAATATAATATAAAAACCTCTAGATAAAAAGGTTCTAAATTGTTTAGTATAACCAATGCATATGATTTGGTCCATTATTATACTAGAAATCATAGTTATGTTAGATATCGGGTTTTTTTAAAGTAATATTTTTGTTGTTGTTGTTATTTATGTGTAAATATACTGTCATTTTGTGTGTCGAAATGTTTGCGCTAACTTTTTTTTTTGTTATATTGATTTTTTGGTACTATTTTATACTATACAATATAGTTTGATTAGCTAATCAAAAAACTATATATGAAAACATACTAATTGTTCGATGACACATTGTTTTTATGATTAATTTGGCGCTAAATTAAATTATTAATATTTATTTTTAAATAAAAAATTATTTTTGTTTTAATGATAATTATTAGAGACATCAAAATATGTTTTAAAAAATTTGTATATTTATACAAATATATATAAATAAAAATAAATATAATATATTAAAACACAAATATATATAATTTAAAAGTGTATAAATGAAAAAGTTATTTAATTAATAATATAAATATTTATATATTTCTATATTTATTATAATTATTTAAAACTGTTAATCAGTAAAATATTTTGTATACAATTAATATATTTATACTAAAATAAAATTTATTAAATATTAATTGTTTTTAATGTAAAAAAATTAAAAAAATTAAATTATTAATTAAATAAAACTTCAATACTATTACAAAATACAATTAAATCTATAAAATCAGTAATTTTCACTGTTATTCAATAAGTTTAACAAATATTTAATAATAAATTATTTTTGTGTAACTAAAATTTTTTTTATTTTTATTAATTAGTAGTTATTATAACTATTTTAATAATAATAATAATAGCAGTACTGTTCAGCAATAAAAAAAATCTACATTAAAAACAATTAAATTATTATAAATCTATATTAGTTGAGATTATTAATTATTTATTATATAAACAGTATATACTGTATGATATCTTAATGAATTATAGTTTTATGTAAATATGCTAAACTGTACAAAAAAAACATTAACTGTAATTCAATAATCAAACTAAAGGCATAGATTATAATTAAATTAAAATTTTATTAGAAAATAATTTATACAATAATAATAATAAAAAAATATGTTTTTTTGTGTAATAATTGTAATGTTCAATAAAAAAAACTTTGTTTCATTAAATACCATCAAATAAGTGACCGCAAGATTATGTAATCAGATTTGCATTGATTAATGTTTAATAATAATATTAATATTAAATAATATAATTATTATTATAATTAACTATATACTAGTATTATTTTTAAAAATCCAATAACAATATTTTTATTTATATTTATATTTTTGTTTAGAAAAATATTTGATAATCAATTAATAAGTAATTGTTATTTTTTTTAACTATCAATAGATTATATGTTTATATATATTCAATAACATATTATTAATACAAAACTTTTTTTTAATTCAAATAAAAAGTTATAATGATTTATCTGGAAAAATGTTCAATATATGTAATTTATATAACTATATATAAATTTAATATATCAGTGTTATGCAAGTTTTGTTTAACAAAAATAAAATTGTTATTTAATTAATTGGTAGTTATGTTATTTTCACATTATTTTTTTTAATATATAATAATAATTGCAGTACTGTTCAGCAAAAAAATAAATAAATCTACACTAAAAACAATTAGAATAATATAAATCTATTTTAGTTAAGATTATTAATTATATATATTAACTACATATATATATATATATATATAAAGATGGGTGCAAAAAAATTGGGAATTTACTAATAGTGTATAAAATTAAGATTAATTGATTTAATAAATTAAACTTTATTGCTCATCAAATTATAAATATATATAATATCAAAATAATTAAAAATTAATAATTATTTTTAACCCGATTAGCCGCAATACACTTTTTTATTTGGGAAGTCATACTCCCGATTAGACACTCATATGTTTTGTGTATGTTTTCATTAGAAATACCCGATTAGAAAATGGTTTTGCGGCCAATCGGGTAACAATTAATTATTAATTGTAATTATTTTATAATTATATATAAATAAATAATTTAATCTACAATAAATGTTTAATTTATTAAATCAATAACTATTAAATTTAAACACATTTAGTTTATTCCCATATTTTTTGCACCTATCTTTATAATATAACAGTATATTTGATATTTTATTAAACAGTATATTAAACTGACAAAAATCTTGAAAGGGGGTAGTATTGGGTGGGGGTATATACTTTAATTGCTTTAAAAAAAAATCAAATTACAAAATCAATTTCCATATAAATGTGACAAAAAAATAAGAAAATATTCCAAATAATTTTAAAAAAATTAATTTTTTTTATAAATTTTAAATTAATTTTTAATAACTATTTTACTCATATATTTACTTATTAATTTAATGGTAAATTTAGTTTTAGTAAAATAATTATATAGTTAATTAACAATAAAATAAAATAATTAAAATTTTAGAAGGAGGTGTTAGTTTTTTTTATCATTTTTTCAAATTTCCGAAAAAATTTGCCTGGTAAAATCATGGTTTCTGTGGGGGGGGGGGGGGTAAGCTAACCATCAACCCCTTCCTCACAAATTTCAAGTCTTATATATATATATCTCAAATTCAATTACTTGTGACTAATAAAAAATTGTTTATGTTTATAATTAAAATAAAATTGTTATATATATATATATAGCTTATTTTCTATATATATATATAGCTTATTTTCTATATATATATATATATAGCTTATTTTCTATATATATATATATATATATATATATATCGTATATATGTATTGTGTTGCCTATAAGATTATTAAATTATAATAAAAAAATTAAAAAAAATTACAATAATTTATCTATAGTATGAATCTTATATAAATATTATATATGTTTCCTGTAACTCAAAATAATTGTAATTTGAAATTAATAATCATATATTATAAATGGTTTATGCAAAATTTATATTATAAATACTTTTAAACAAACAAATATTTAAATATTGTTTAATTATTATTATTATTGACAGACTATACTTTATGAAATAATACATAATATATAATAAATTTAATTATAAAATATTCAAAAATTTTATATATTACTAGAATACAGAATATTTTTATTTAAAAAGTTAATTTATAGAATAATATTTTATTAAAAAATATATCTAAATATTAAAATAAATAGTTATATATTATTATTATTAGTGAATATTATTATTTAACCATAAAATGTCTAAATCTGTTTTGTGTTATATTGTTTTTATTATAAATTTAATTTTATTACAACAATCAAATCAAACACCATGTGGTCAACCGGGAGTACCATATAATGGACACATTATTTCACTTACGGAAACGGTTGTCCAATATTCATGTAATTCACAGTTAATATTATTAGGCAATGATAGCCGTTATTGTAATGAAAGCACCGGCCGTTGGACTTCAACTGTACCCCAATGTCTAAAACAATTGGACAAACAGTTTTTATATGATTATGTTTATAATTTATTTGATTAGAAATGATAGCATTTCTCCAACAGTAAGACTGTTACTGATGTTTGCCATCGACACAGCAAAAGGTCAATACTTTTTTTTAAAAAAAATATAATAAACTAATTTAAAATTGTTTATATTGTATGTTATATACAATAGGAATGGCTTATCTATCGGAACATCATTTCGTGCACCGGGATTTAGCCGCACGTAACTGTGTTGTTGATGATAAACAATTGATTAAAATAGCAGATTTCGGTTTATCGAGAGATTTGTTTAATAAAGATTATTACAGAAGTAATAATCAAAAATGTAAACTTCCGGTCAAATGGATGTCACCCGAGAGTCTTGAAAAAGGTATATACGATAGCAAAACTGATGTCTGGTCTTATGGTGTACTCGTATGGGAACTGTTAACCCGAGGACTGACACCATATCCTAATGTTTCCAATTGGGAAATCACCAACTATTTAAAACATGGCTACCGTTTGCCGAAACCACCGAATTGTCCGCAAATAGTTTATACAAATGTATTGATGCGCTGTTGGTCTGATGATCCGCTACTGAGACCAACATTTGCTGAACTAGTCGTTAGTTTTGAAACAATAATAGAAATATTGGTAAATAATTCACAAGAATCAGTAAATATCGACAACACTTATATTAATTATCCCATTGATAGCAGCGATTTAACTAATAATTAATTAATATTTATTTAAATTTATTTATATTTCCTTATATTCTATTTGTTTGTTTGTTTAGTAAACATTTAATTAAGTATTTAATATTTTATAAATATAATATAATCAAATATATAAATATAAATAAATATAAGCTTCATAAATATAATCAAAATTGTAAATAAATTGTTTTTTTATAATTATAATTTAATTATTAGCCTAAATATAAATGAAAAAAAATAAATTAATTAATATAATATCAAAAAAAACTATAAGTAAAAAATCAATTAATTAATATTTATTTAAAACTATTAATATTTCATAATATTCTATTTGTTTGTTTAAATTGTTTGTTCAGCAAAAATTTATTTGTATTAATTAAGCAGTTTTATAAATAACTTCATAAATATTATCAAAATTACAAACAAATTGTTTTTTGTTATTATAATTTAGTTATTAGATCCTAAATATTATTAAATTTATTGATATTAAGTAAACAAAATATAAAAATATAAATATAAAAATTGCAATATTTTGACATGGTCTAAAATAAAAGTGCCAGGGTATTTTATTATGAGATTAGTCAATTATTATTTGTTATTTTATAGAGAATAATTAATCTATTTACATTTTTTAATTATGATGTTTAGTTTTTGTGATATTTAATAAAATTGTTATATATATATATACAAAGTCTATATATGTATTGTGTTGCCTTAAGTATAATTAAATTATAATAATAATAAAAAATAACTAAATTATAATAATAATAAAAAAATAACTAAATTATAATAGTTTATCTATAGTATGAATCATATATAAATATTATTATATATGTTTCCGGTACTAAAAATATTTGTAATTTGAAATTAATAATCATATACTATATATGGTTTAAGCAAAATTTATATTATATTTATTTTTAAACAAACATATATTTTTATATATACTGTAGATAGAGATATTTAAATATTGTTTAAACTTTGATATTATTAAAAATAATTGTTAATTACTATTATTTAATTTTGAAAGACTATATTTTATGAAATAGTACATAAATTATAATAAATTTAATTAAAAAAATATTGAAAATTTATATACTAGAATACAGTATATTTTTATTTAAAAAAATTTATTTATGTTATAAAAAATTACTAATAGAATAATATTTTATTAAAAAATATATCTAAATATTCAACTGTTAATTAATTAATATTTATTTAAAATTATTTATATTTCCTTATATTTTATTTATTTGTTTGTATTATTTATAAAGTTATTGTTTTATAAATATTGTCAAAATTGCAAACAAATTGTTTTTTGTTATTATAATTTAGTTATTATCCTAAATATAATTAAATTTATTGATATACAGTAAACAAAATCAAAATTATAAACAAATTGTAAATCTAGTAATTATATAAATAGTTTAATTGTTAGAATAATAATTATACAATAATAATAAATTAAATTTTAAAAAATTTAGTGTCTATTTAAAGTTTTAATAATATTCTGTTTTCTATTTCTAATTAACCAAAAAATCTCATAATTAGCTAATTATTAGATACAATGTTTGTAATCCAATCCAAATGCGGTAAAATGCGTACAAAAAATATAATATTATAGTTATCTTTTGGATCCAAACATTTTTTATCAGCAGATCTTCCACTGCTTTGTGTGATACCGATGAGCACTGCCCTACCGTTAATATACTGATACAGTGGACCACCAGAATCACCCTATAAATTGTTTTTTAAACAAAAATTTAAACTATTCTACAATATATATATATATATATTAAAAAGTATAGATATAGAATAGTTATTGAAATATATAAAGTCTTTATATATATATCAGGGTAAAGTAAGGGGGTAGGGGGGATAAGGACAAAATACCCCCAGAAGATCGAGAAATTGTGATTTTACACCCAGACTTTTTGACCAAATTGGAAAAATTTTCGCTTATAAATGATGAAAAATGACCCCCCTTAAAATTTATAAAATTTCTTAACTATAGTTGATACTATTTTAGTAAATGTTTTTATATTTTTAATATTTATATGAATCTAATTATTTATAAAAAAATAAGTAAAATAGTTAAAATAATGTTAAGACTCATCAAAAAATAACATTAGTTTAATTAAAATATTAAACTTAAAAATTAAAAATTACCAATTTGTTGAAAAAAAGTAATCATATTACAATTTAAATACAAGTTAAATAGAAAATAGTTTAATAAGTTAATTAAACAATAAATATTTATATTATAAGTTTTTTAATAATAATTTGGTTAATTATTGTATAATAGATATACCCAACCCATATGTAACAGATCAACAGTATGCCCGTCATTGTCATAATCACCGAAACCAGCTACCAGTGCCAACTGATTAAGATTTTCAGACGGTTTGTATATACTATTACTACTTTTAATACTATTATTAGTGGGCAAACAAATGGCATTCATAAATATGATTGTATTTGGTTTAGTCGGAAGTGGTATCCATTGTTTCAATTTAATTAATCCGATATCAGATTTAAGTTCTTTACCACTAATATAGTCTGGATATGCGTACAACTGATCCACTTTATAACCGAGTGGTAAGTATTTGAGTGATTGTGTGCCGGGATATACAGTAATAAATGACTTATCAATGTAGTGGCCATTCCTTAAAATATAATATATTTATAAGTATTTTTTAAATTATTTAACTTATAATAATTGTATTAAAATATTATTATCAAATTACATACTTATATATACAATGTGCTGCTGTTATAATCCATCGATCATTTAAAATTGAACCCGAACACGAACTAAAAAATAATAAATTTCTATCTATACATATCAAAGTTAAGTACAGGGGGGGTAAATTTAAAATACCCATCTAAGATCGATATTTAAGAATTTTACCCCCCGGACTTTTTTGACCAAATGGGAAACAGTATATATATATATATACAGTATAAAGTATATCGAATTATTAGACAATATAATAATTTATTAACTAACCTGTAACCATTATCTTTTATCCACCGTTTTTTTATTTTGTAAATGTATGCCACAAACGGCACTTCTCCCGGTTTGGCCGATCGTCCAAACTGTATGTCCTGTTGTTGTGTATAGTTTGCATACCAGCGGAAACACTGGCCGTTCATCAGCACTGACTCGCGGCCCACACCACACCCTTCCGGTGATATTATACTATCCATTGATGATATGATAGCACATAATATATACCATATAATCACTAAGTGATTGATACTATTGACTGAATTTGTTAAACAATTCATTATAATAAACACAGACAGTATATACTAGATATCAATATATATTTATAATTATATCTATAATCTCGTTAATTATTACTATTTTTACAATTTTTACTTATTTTTAAGTTATATTAAATAAAATAATAACAATATACATTTAATCTAGTTATTAAATTACAATTAACTTTTTTGTAATATACAGTATATTGTTTCAGTAATACAAATATTTTTATTTTGTCATATTTACATAAAATTGTTAATTATTATATTATAGATATTGTAATAATGATATATCAAATATACAGTATATAAAGATAAATATAAAGATATTAAATTATTTATTACTAAATGTAAAATATTAATACAATAAATATTTTTATAATACTTTAATATAAATTTTGTATAAAGTATAAGTATCCTAATGTCTAATTGTATATAAATTTAATGAAAATTAAACTAAAATTTGGTATATTTTATTATTTATATATAATAAATAATTAATTTTAACTCGAAAGTAATCATAATGTGATATACTGTATATCCAAAATAGTTTAAACAAATTAAATAATGTATTATAAATATATATTGAGATCTTTAAAATTATATAATGTTTATATATATTATTATATCTTTTCATTTATTTAAATGACAAAATGTTTGATTATTATTTTTATTTAAATTATCATTTATTAAACAATATACAGTCATTGATAAAAATAATTTTATAAATTTTGTCTAATTATTGAATTACAGTAAGAGATGAGCAAATAGAAAGTTTCAATAATAAATTTCAATGAAAATGTTTATAGAAAATATTTCAGGAAATTTTCTATAGAAATTTAATTTTATTGTTATACTATTGAATCCCCATATCTATAGCTATTGTAATACAATTATTAATGAAAAATAATACATATACAGTTTTACACTACTATACAAAATAGTATTCATATAACAGTATAAACAAAAATCAGTTTTGTAAATATTTTAAATCATAGTAATATAATAAATATTTATATTTAATTAAAATACTACTAAAATAGTTATATATATATATATAATATTAAATACTAATTGTTTTTAGAGTAGTATTTTTTCTAAAAAAATTATTTAAAAAAATATATTATACATTTAGGATTATTAAATTACAATTAAATCTATAAAATTTATTAATATTACCTGTTTTTTTTGTTTAAAACATAATACAAAATTATTTTTGTTTTGAAAATAAAAAAATTGCTATTTAAATAATTAGTAATAATTTTAATTTTTTTTAACTAAATGATAATATAAATAATACTAATTATGAAAAACTACTTTAATACACTTAATTTACAATAAATTTATTTTATAATCTAAAAATATTAATTATTTAATTAAAATATAAAAATTATAAATTATTTAAATAACAGTATATTTGATATCTAACTGAATAACAGTTTTATTTAGATATAATAAACAATAAAAAATTTTTTTAACTGTAATTCAATAATCTGAGAGAATGTAGAGTATATTATTATTTTTATAAATAAATAACAATAATAAAAAAATATATTTAAATATTTTTTTTGCAATAACTATAATCCTATATTAAAATTTTGTATTGTAAATGTTTGAATTAGCATTTATTAAACAATATACAGTCATTGATAAAAAAATAATTTTATACATTTTGTCTAATTATTGAATTACAGTAAGAGATTAGCAAATAGAAAGTTTCAATAATAAATTTCAATAATAAAGTTAATAGAAAAATTTTCAGGAAATTTTCTAAAGAAATTTAACTTTATTGTTGATACACATATCTATAACTATTGGAATAGTATTATTGGTGAAACATAATACATATACAGTTTTATACTACTATACAAAATAGTATACATATAACAGTATAAACAATAATCAGATTTGAAAAAAATTTAAATCATAATAATATAATTAATATTTATATTTAATTAAAATACTACTAAAATAGTTATATATAAATGTTTTTAGAGTAGTAGTTTTTTAAAAAAAAATTATTAATTAAAAATATAGTATTGAATTAAAATTAAATCTATATATTAGTAATATTAACTGTTTTTCTGTTTAAAACATAATATAAAATTATATTTGTTTTGATAATAAAAAAATGAAATTTAATTATTTAGTAATTTTTATTTTTATTTTTTTAAATAATGATATATAAAAATTAAAAAAACTACTTTAATACAATTAATATACAATAAATCTATTTTAATATCTATTATTAATTATTTAAATAAATTTCTATAAACAGTATATTTGATATCTAACTGAATAACAGTTTTATGTAAATATAATAAACACTAAACAAATTTTTTTAACTGTAATTCAATAATCTGAGAAAATGTAGAGTATATTATTTTTTTTATAAATAAATAACAATAATAAAAAAAATATATTTAAATATTTTATTTTTGTAATAACTGCAATGTTATATTAAAGTTTTGCATTATTAAATATACCATCAATTAAGTAGCCGCAAAATTATGTAAATGTAATGAAAAAATAAATAAAGTTATCATAATTATAGACTAATACTAATACAAAATAATGTACTTCAATAATAAAAAGATAAAGTTATAATAAATTTATTTTTATTGTAAAATATTTTTTGTATAATATATTAAATAAGATTAATACAAAAAAAATTGTTTGCGTGATTTTAATTAAAATTAAATTGCTAAATATTGATTTATCTTTAAAAATGTCAATAATATCAATATATTGAAAGTTTTTATTATTTTATTATTTATACAGTATAACCAGTATATATGATATTTTACTAAATGTTTTATGTAAATATGTAAAACTAAAAAAACATTAACTGTAATTCAATAATCAGAATAAATGTAAAGTTTATAATTTAATTAAAAATATTTTTTAAAAATAATATATATATATATATATATATATATATAGACATTAATCTATTATATGTTATTAAAGATTGCAAATATTACACAATATATCTATATAATTGCAATTTTCAATAACTATTACCATTACAATAACCAATAACAATAACATTTAATAATTTTTTTTAAAAAAACAATAACAATTTTTTTTATAAAATATCAATTTGATAGTCAATTCATAAATAATTGATATTTTTTAATACACAATAGATATATATATATATATTCAATAACATATGATTAATAGAAAAACTGTAGTGATTTATCTTTGAAAAATGTCAATATTATATAAATATGTTTATAAATATATGTTTTTGTAGTTCAAAATTAAAAAACAAATGACAATATTTATACACAGAATAAATTCATATGTAAATATATAAGTTTCCTGGACACAAAATCATTGTAAATTGAAATCATATATATATATCAATATATACTGACTGTTAAGTTTAGAAAAATTATTTATATATTCAGATATATTTATTATTTGAGATTATTTGAAACTGTGATATCAAAAATAATTGTTTAATTTTGTTTCAAAAAAATTTATTATATATGAAATAATAAAATGAAATATACAGTATAAAATAATACATAATATTTTAAATATAAGTTATAAGTTATAAATTTTTCAAAAAAATACAGTAATATACAAAAAAAAATTATTATAAGATTTTTTATAAGTATATTATTTTTTTTAAAAAAAAATCTAATTGATAACTATTAAATTAAAAAGTTATAAAATATTATTTTTTTATATTAACTAATAAAGTGATTATTATATTAAGTGATAAAAATGTTTAACTATTTAAGTAAATTTATTTTAATTGTAAATTTTATTTTATTTTATCAATCAAATGTAAGCCCCTGTGCAGAGCCAGGTGTGCCGTTTAATGGATTTATTAGTAGGATCTCTAAAAACATAGTCCAATATTCATGTAATACACAATCAATACTGTTAGGCAATGCTAGCCGTTATTGCAATAATGACATCAATGGTTGGTCTTCACCTGTACCTCAATGTCTCAAACAATTGGATAAACAGTTTATCAATAAAACAATAATTAATAATCAAACCAACTATAGATATGTTAAGTATTTATTTGATAACAACTACTCGAGATGTTTGGACACATTTTCATCCAATCAAACAAACAATTTAATTGAAATATATTTTAATTCAACAGTTAATGTTAAAGGCGTTCAATTAGTAAGTATGGATAATAGTGAACTAGATTTACCACATTATCACTTAAAATTTGGTCTAAAAAATCAAAATAATTTTTCAAAATTACATTTACTAACAAAAAGTTTCAAAAATTATGTAAATGTTTATCAATACATTCAAAACGATTATTATATTTATGGAGATTATTTGAGTATATTTTTTAAAAACAATTTCCACCTAAATATTTGTGAATTACAAATATTGTTATCAAACAATAATAACTGCGGAACACCTGATGTGCCATCAAATGGTTTGGTTAGTATTGAAACAAATAATAATTATTCAATTGCAAAATTCAAATGTAAAGAAAATTATGATTTAATTGGAAATAAAGAAATAATTTGTGTAACAAATAATGAGTGGACATCAATGTCATCGGAATGCATACCAAATGGTAAGATATAAATAGTTATTATATTAAATTGTATATAAATTTAAACATAATAAACATTATTGTTAGCTATAAAAACTTTTTATCTATTATCCTTTTAATTATTAATAATAATGCTATTAATACTTTAGTTTTCAACAATAATAATAATAAAAATATTTAATTTTAACTAGTAATTTAAAATTATTGTACAAATAAAATTTAATATAATAATTTATTTATTTGTTTTATTATTGTTTGTATAAATAAAGGAAAAAAGGACGAAGATACATTATCAGGTAAAATTAATTATAATTAATTAATATTATTTATAAAAAATTAATTACAATATTTTTAAATTATAGTAATAGCAATTATTGGTATGTTTGCAGTAATTATTTGTGTAATTATTCATATAATAAATGTTAAGAAAAATAATAAGAAAAATACTGTTAAATCAATTGAAGTCATATATAAAAAGGAGACCAATGTTAACGATGACAATAGACAAGTGCTAACAAATGGTATTTCATTTAAGATTACATTATAAATTCAATAAGTTTATCTTATTATTAACATATGATATTATTTTTATTATATTACACATTATTATCATAAAATTATATTTATTTTATACTAACATTCATAGACATTATGCTGACATCAAATGATAATAAGCACCAAATAAATGATGAAATTATGGATTCAATACGGATTCAAAATATTTATATCGAAAGAAAATACATAAAACTTGAATCTGTATTAGGAATGGGAGAGTTCGGCAAAATTTATAAAGCATTACTCTTTGATCAACAAATACATAATGAGATACAAGTGGCCGCAAAAACTATAAAAAAGTGTATGTAATATATATAGTATAAAAAATATATATAATTTTGAATGTTTTTAAAATATTTTTATAGCAAAGATAAGTGATGTCAATACTATCGAAACATTTCTAAAGGAAGGCCTTATAATGAAAGACTTCAATCATTTGAATGTCTTAACACTTATAGGTGTCTGCTTTGAAACAACCGGTGAACCGATAATTGTTTTACCTTTTATGTCAAACGGAGATTTGTTATCATATATTAGAAATGATAACAATTATCTAACAGCAAGAATGCTACTCATGTTTGCCATCGATATAGCAAAAGGTAAATACTTTTTACTAATATTTATTTTATCTAAAAATATAATAAAATTAATTAAAAATTATTTATATTATATTTTATACACAATAGGTATGTCTTATCTATCGGAACATCATATCATTCACCGGGATTTGGCCGCTCGTAACTGTCTTATCGACGATAAATTATTAGTCAAAATAGCAGACTTTGGTTTATCAAGAGATTTGTTTAATAAAGATTATTACAAAAGTATTAATCAAAAATGTAAACTTCCGGTCAAATGGATGTCACCCGAGAGTCTGGAAAGAGGTATATATGATACCAAAACTGATGTCTGGTCTTATGGTGTACTCGTATGGGAACTGATGACCCGCGGAGTTAAACCATATCCTAATGTGTCCAACAGTATGATTGATAAATATTTAAAACAAGGACAACGTTTGCTAAAACCATACCATTGTCCACAAATTGTTTATACAAATGTATTGATGCGCTGTTGGTCTTATGATCCGCAATATAGACCAACATTTGCTGAAATAATAGTAGAAATTGAATCAATAATTGAAAAATTAGTAAACGATGCACAAGAAAATGTAGACAATATTTACATCAATTATCCAATTGATAACTCATTTATAATTAATAATTAAATTATATTAATATTTAATATTGTTATTTTTGTTTTTAATTTTGTATTTTAATAATTAAATAAAATCAAAATTATAAACTTAGTTTTTAGTCTTAACTAATTATAGTTTGAATAATTACAATACTTTATATATCAATAGATTATATGAATTTCAATTTTGTATGTGTATGTGTATGTGTATGTGTATGTGTATGTGTATGTGTATGTGTATGTGTATGTGTATGTGTATGTGTATGTGTATGTGTATGTGTATGTGTATGTGTATGTGTATGTGTATGTGTATGTGTATGTGTATGTGTATGTGTATGTGTATGTGTATGTGTATGTGTATGTGTATGTGTATGTGTATGTGTATGTGTATGTGTATGTGTATGTGTATGTGTATGTGTATGTGTATGTGTATGTGTATGTGTATGTGTATGTGTATGTGTATGTGTATGTGTATGTGTATGTGTATGTGTATGTGTATGTGTTATAAATTTAAACATAATAAACATTATTTTAGCTATAAAATATAAATTTAGTAAACTTAACTTTATAACCAATACTAATAACTTTAATAAAATACTTTAGTTTATAACAATTATAATTATAAAAATATTTTTATGTAAGTTATTTATAAAAAGGAAACCAATATTAAGGATGAAAATAGATGTTAATAAATGGTATTTCTATTAAATTATATTATAAAGCATAATAAGTTTATCTTATAAATAACTAATTTTGTTAATTTATTGTATTATATAATAGTTTATTAATTTTATATGATCAAAATCATAAAATTAATATTATTTTATTTTTTAATTTATAGACATTATGCTGACATCAAATGATAATAAATACCAAATAAGTGATGAAATTATGGATTCAATACGGATTCAAAATATTTATATCGAAAGAAAAAACATAAGACTTGAATCTGTATTAGGAATGGGAGAGTTCGGCAAAGTTTATAAAGCATTACTATTTGATCAACAAATACATAATGAGATACAAGTGGCCGCAAAAACTCTTAAAAAATGTATGTAATATATAGTATAACAAAAATATATAATTTTGAATATTTTTTAATATTTTTATAGCAAAGATAAATGATATGAATGCTATCAAAACCTTTCTAAAGGAAAGCCTTATAATGAAAGACTTCAATCATTTGAATGTCTTAAAACTAATTGGTGTTTCATTTGAACTAAATGGTGAACCCATAATTGTTTTACCTTTTATGGCAAACGGAGATTTGTTATCATATATTAGAAATGATAACAATTATCTAACAGCAAGAATGCTACTCATGTTTGCCATCGATATAGCAAAAGGTAAATACTTTTTACTAATATTTATTTTATCTAAAAATATAATAAAATTAATTAAAAATTATTTATATTATATGTTATATACAATAGGTATGGTTTATCTATCGGAACATCGTTTCATTCAACGGGATTTGGCCGCACGTAACTGTGTTATCGACGATAAATTATTAGTCAAAATAGCAGACTTTGGTTTATCGAGGGATTTGTTTAATAAAGATTATTACAAAAGTATTAATCAAAAATGTAAACTTCCGGTCAAATGGATGTCACCCGAGAATCTGGAAAAAGGTATATATGATACCAAAACTGATGTCTGGTCTTATGGTATACTCGTATGGGAACTGTTGACCCGCGGACATACACCGTATCCTAATATATCCAACAATATGATTGATAAATATTTAAAACATGGAAACCGTTTACTAAAACCACACTATTGTCCACAAATTGTTTATAAAAACGTATTGATGTGCTGTTGGTCTAATAATTCGCAAATGAGACCAACATTTGCTGAACTTGTCGTAGAAATTGAATCAATAATTGAAAAAATTGGTAAATGATTTAAAAGAAACGGTAGATATTGACAACCCTTACATCAATTATCCAATTGATAGCAGTGATAAAAGCATTAATTAAATTATTTTAATCTTAATTTAAATTTATTTGTGTTTATTTAGGAAATTTTATTTATTATTTTTTTAAAATTTTAATATATAAATAAAATCAAAATTACAAACATAATTATAGTTAGCATAAATACAAATACTTTATATAATATATCAATAGATTATATGATAAAATAATGTCAATTTTTAAAAATCACTTTAAAATATTTTGCTATCTATAATTAATATTTAAAAAAAATAATTAATTGCATTTTTCTAATGTTAAAATCATATATAATTTGCTAATTATTAGATACAATATTTGTAATCCAATCCAAATGCGGTAAAATGCGTACAAATAATATTAGTTTTTTGTAATCATTTGGATTCAAGCAATTTGTATTAGATTTTTCAGCGCCACTAATGATACCAATGAGCACTGCCCTACCGTTAATATACTGATACAGTGGACCACCAGAATCGCCCTATAAATTAGTATGTATTCATGTAATACTAGTTAATAAGTTATTGTATTAAATAATAGTTTATTTTAAATTCAATTCATTTTTTATTGAAATTTTAAAATGTTTGTTAGATTAGTGTTACAGTAGATGTGATTTTTATGAATGAATTATTATTCAATATATTTTTATAAAAATTAGTATTTTTTATAGCATAGAGTAGTATTATAGTAGTTTATAGCAAATATTTAATGAAAAAAATTAAAAATAATTTTAAAAAACAATAATTAAAAACTTACACTACATGTTGATGTACCACTATATTTAGGATAACGTGTCATATAATACGATACTAAATCATTATTATATTTAATATATACCCAACCAATATGTAGACGATTAACAGTATGCAAGTGATTGCCATAAGTACCGAAACCAGCTACCAGTGCCAACTGATTAAGATTTTCAGACGGTGTATATATACCAGTAGACGGTGTATATCTACCACTACTACTACTTTTAATACTACTATTAGTGGGCAAACAAATGGCATTCATAAGACTGATTGGTTGTCGTTTAGTTGGAAGTGGTATCCATTGTTTCAATTTAATTAATCCGATATCAGATTTGGTTTCATTACCACTTATATAGTCTGGATGTGCGTACAACTGGTCCACACTATAACCGAGTGGTAAGTGTTTGCGTGATTGGGCGCCGGGATATACAGTAAATGCCGATTTGTCGTAATAACCATTTCTTAAATTATAATACAATATAATATAATTTGTTTTGTAATTTGTTATCTGAATTTATATATAAAATGGTGTCAATTGGATAAAAATCATATAAAAGATATTGATTTTGGTGTTATTTAATTATATAAAGATTTTAGTTTAAATATCAAATAACTTTTCTGGAAATTTTCATAAAATATCTATTTGATTTAGCTTATTAGTTTTTTGAACAATTATTTACTTTAAATAGTTTTTTATTTATCAATATTATTATTATTGTTTGTTATGTACATATACAGTATATAATAATAATAATAATAATGGGTAAAACTTTAAATTTAAGTATTGATTATAATTTTAAATTAAATATTTTGTTTTTATAAATTACATACTTATATATACAATGTGCTGCTGTTATAATCCATCGATTATTTAATATTGAACCCGAACACATACTAAAATAATTTATTTTTTTATATTATTTGTTTTAAATAATATAAATTGTCATTAAATATACAGTATTTATAAAATTATTAATAAATATTATTATATTGATATACCTTTCCCCGTAAGGAAATATCCATAGTTTCTTATATTTGTGAATATATACCGCAAACGGCACTTCTCCCGGTTTGGCCGATCGTCCAAACTGTATGTCCTGTTGTTGTGTATAGTTTGCATACCAGCGGAAACACTGGCCGTTCATCAGCACTGACTCGCGGCCCACACCACACCCTTCCGGTGATATTATACTATCCATTGATGATATGATAGCACATAATATATACCATATAATCAATAATTGTTTGATACAATTGACTGAATTTGTTAAAAAAGACATTATAATAAACAAATACAGTTTATATAAACGAAAATTTAAATGTATAAAAGCTATAATGTCGTAAATTAACACTATTTTTACAATTTTTAGTTATTTTAAAGTTATATATAATAAAATAATAATAGTATACATTTAATCTAGTTATTAAAGTACAATAAATTTTTTTGTAATATACAGTATAATGTTTCATTATTACAGATATTTTTAGTTTATCATATTTACATAAAATTGTTAATTATTAAAGTTATTGTAAAAATATCAAATATTTATTATATTTATATAGATATATAATATATAACGATATTGAATTATTTATAAATAAATGTAAAATTTTATAATAATTTAATATTATTTTTACGAATATACTGTATATAAATTATAATATTTATTAAACTAATTAAAGAAATAACTGCTTACAAAGTCAATCAATTGTTATTTAATACAAACTATAGTAACTATGTATCAAATTATTAAGAAAACAATTTGGTTATAATAATTATAATATAAAATAATTACTATTATATTCAATAATAAATATTAAAATTAAAAAAAATAACACAATTTAGTGGCAATAATTTAAAATCAATTTTGTTTGCAAACAATTTAAATATATGTTTTTGCAATATCCAAATAATTAAAGCCTATAATACAGACTATAAATTGATTGGAAATACACACAAATTAATTGCATGATATCTGATGACTGGTCATTATCGGTGGTCAAGCAATGAACACCAATTGGTAGCTAAACTACCAATGAGTGGCCAAACTAGGAGTGCCCTAAAATGCAAATATAAGTTCAGTATTAGCAAAAGTTATCAACTATTAATGTAATACACAGTTAGTATTGTTAGGCAATAATAGCTGTTATTGTAAGGAAGGTATCGGAGATTTGTCGTCAAATATACCCAAATGTCTAATTGAATTTAAACACACAATTTGGACAAACAGTTTATTATATAAAACAATAATTAATAATCAAACCAACAATAGATATGTATATTTTATTTGATAAACAACTATTCCACATAATTTTTGATACATTTTTATCAAATAATACAAACAATTTAATTTAAATATATTTTAATACAGAATTTTATGTTAAAGGCATTCAATTGTTAAGTATAGATAACAGTGAACTAGTTTTTAGAATTTACAATATTATCACCTAAATTTATGTGAATTACAAATATTGTTATCAAACAATAATAACTGTGGAACACCTGATGTGCCATTAAATGGTTTGGTTAGTATTGAATCAAATATGTATTATTCAATTGCAAAATTTAAATGTAAGGAAAATTATCATTTAATTAAAAATAAAGATATAATATGTGTAACAAATAGCGAGTGGACATCAATGTCATCACAATGCATACCAATGGGTAAGTTATTAATATTTATTATATTATAAATTGTAGTTAAAGTTAAATTAAAACATAATTAATATTATTATTAATATATATTATAGTATAAATTCAATTATATTATTGCTAATCTAATAATCTATTAATAATTATTAGGAGTCCAATGTTAACGATAACAATAGACAAGTGTTAACAAATGGTATTTATTTAAAATTATTATAAATAATAATAAGTTTATTTCATTAATAACTAATTAAATTATTTTTATTCTATTAAGTAATATTTTATTAAAATTATATAATTAAAACATAAAATTAATATTATTTTATTCGTTAATTTATAGACATTATGCTGACATCAAATGATAATAAATACCAAATAAGTGATGAAATTATGGATTCAATACGGATTCAAAATATTTATATCGAAAGAAAAAATAAAAAAACTTGAATCCGTATTAGGAATGGGAGAGTTCGGCAAAGTTTATAAGGGATTACTCTTTGATAAACAGTTAAATAATGAGAGAGAAGTGGCCGCAAAAAACTTTTTAAAAATGTATGTAATATACAGTAAATTAAAAATATATAATTTATTTTTTTAAATAATTTTATAGCAAAGATAAATGGTGTCAATACTATCGAAACCTTTCTAAAGGAAGGCCTTATAATAAAAGACTTCAACCATTTGAATGTCTTAACACTTATAGGTGTCTGCTTTGAAACAACCGGTGAACCGATAATTATATTACCTTTTATGTCAAACGGCGATATGTTATCATATATTAGAAATGATAGCAATTATCTAACTGTAAGAATGTTACTCCTGTTTGCCATCGATATAGCAAAAGGTCTATAATTTTTTTATTATTACTTTTACTTTAAATGTTGTTTTTTATTGAATATTATGTTATGTTCAATAGGTATGGCTTATCTATCGGAACATCATATCATTCACCGGGATTTGGCCGCACGTAACTGTCTTATCGACGATAAATTATTAGTCAAAATAGCAGACTTTGGTTTATCGAGGGATTTGTTTTATAAAGATTATTACAAAAGTGATAATCAAAAACGTAAACTTCCGGTCAAATGGATATTAATCTTTAATATTGTTATTTGTGTTTTTTAACAATTTTGTTTATTATTTTGTTTTATTTTAATATATAAATAAAATCAAATTTACAAACATAAGGTATTTAATAATTATAGTTAGAATAAATACAAATACTTTATATATTTTATATATTATATAAATATAGTAATGTTAATTTTTAAAAAACACTTTAAAATATTGATTAAAAAATTAAAAAACAGTTATAAAAATATTTTGCTTTTTATAATTAATTTTTAAGAATTTTACTCAATATATTCATCTAATGTTAAAATCATATATAATAAGCTAATTATTAGATACAATGTTTGTAATCCAATCCAAATGCGGTAAAATGCGTACAAAAGTCATCATTGCTTTGTAATCTTTTGGATCCAAACAAGAATCAATAGCTTCACTGCTTCGTGTGATACCAATGAGCACTGCCCTACCGTTAATATACTGATACAATGGACCACCAGAATCACCCTATAAATTGTTTTTAATTAATATTTAAACAAATGATAATGAAATAAAATGTATGTGTATGTGTATGTGTATGTGTATGTGTATGTGTATGTGTATGTGTATGTGTATGTGTATGTGTATGTGTATGTGTATGTGTATGTGTATGTGTATGTGTATGTGTATGTGTATGTGTATGTGTATGTGTATGTGTATGTGTATGTGTATGTGTATGTGTATGTGTATGTGTATGTGTATGTGTATGTGTATGTGTATGTGTATGTGTATGTGTATGTGTATGTGTATGTGTATGTGTATGTGTATGTGTATGTGTATGTGTATGTGTATGTGTATGTGTATGTGTATGTGTATGTGTATGTGTATGTGTATGTGTATGTGTATGTGTATGTGTATGTGTATGTGTATGTGTATGTGTATGTGTATGTGTATGTGTATGTGTATGTGTATGTGTATGTGTATGTGTATGTGTATGTGTATGTGTATGTGTATGTGTATGTGTATGTGTATGTGTATGTGTATGTGTATGTGTATGTGTATGTGTATGTGTATGTGTATGTGTATGTGTATGTGTATGTGTATGTGTATGTGTATGTGTATGTGTATGTGTATGTGTATGTGTATGTGTATGTGTATGTGTATGTGTATGTGTATGTGTATGTGTAGTATACAATAAATTATATATATATCGATATTATTAGTATTTTATTTACTCTATATTTTTTTAATTTTTTATATGTAATGATATTATAGTGAGTGCTTAAAGTATTTTATAGCTAATTATTAAAATAAAATATAAATATAAAATATGAATAAATATTTACATTACAGATTGATGTACCACTATATTTGGGATAACGTCTCATATAATACGATAATAAATCGTTATTATATCTAATATATACCCAACCAATATGTAGCCGATTAATAGTATGGTAGTGATTGCCATAATCACCGAAACCAGCTACCAGTGCCAACTGATTAAGGTTTTCAGACGGTTTATATTTACCACTACTACTACTTTTAATACTACTATTAGTGGGCAAACAAATGGCATTCATAAGACTGATTGTATTTGGTTTAGTTGGAAGTGGTATCCATTGTTTCAATTTAATTAATCCGATATCAGATTTGGTTTCATTACCACTCATATAGTCTGGATGTGCGTACAACTGGTCCACACTATAACCGAGTGGTAAGTGTTTGATTGATTGTGTGCCGGGATATACAGTAAAATCCGATTTATCGTAATAACCATTTCTTAAATTATAATAAACTATAATATTATTTATTGTAAATTTTATTAAGTTATATATAAAATGTTGTCAAAGATATTATTTTACATGAAAACAAAATTATTATTTAATTAATCGATTAAATTATTTAAATACATTTTAATCACTTATTTTTTGTTTGTTTATTATCTTTTACACAATCATTCATTCATTCATTAATTTAATAGACTTCATATCTACAGATATATTGCTTTTTAAGTATATGAGTGTTTCTCATAATAATACGTTCGCAATTGAGGGGCGGGGGGGGGTTTAGCCAAAGCGAATTTTTGCAAACGAGGGGATGGGAGGGGTAGAGACATTAAAAACGTTCTCATTTAGATAATATTTTATTTTTTGTTGTGGAGGGGGGTTAAGGGTTAAAGACATGCAAACGTACTATGTGAACAGACCCAAATAACGGTATATATATAGCTGTACTATATAATAATAAGTGTTAAAATTTATACAAAACAAGTTACAAACAAAAAATGAAATTTTATTATTGATTATAATTTGTATATTTTATAAATTTTTATAAATTACATACTTATATATACAATGTGCTGCTGTTATAATCCATCGATCATTTAATATTGAACCCGAACAGTGACTATAATAATGTATTTTATATAGTATTTGTTTTAAATAAATTAAATTATCATTTAGTATAAAATATTTATTGAATATTTATATATCAGGGTTAAGTAAG